TATTCAACACCAGCATCAGTAGTTGCATCACCATAAGCAACGAACCAAAATCCAGTGCGAAAAGTGTTTCCCGTCAAGTTCCCATCAAGTTGAACCCATATTCTGTGTTTTTTTTTTCTGGTATCGTGTGCTGATGAACCCGTTGAGCAACGCGGATGATGAATAAGGCATTTGAGAGCAGTGATGATGATGATGAGTTTCGCTTTCGTCATATATTGTCGGATTCGGTCCGAGAACGGAATTGATTCAGATTGGGTTCGTGGTGGGATTTCATACGGAACAATATGCCGGTCTTTCTTGGATGGGTTGCCTTTCTTTTGAGGGCCACAGATTTTCCTTCAGTCGTCGAACCCGTGTTTTCCGTGTCCAATGTGCCACTGAACATTGTTCCCGTGCTTGTGAGAAACACGCACATACGGTGTTGAAAAAAAATAAACATTGTTTATGAAATTATCTCAGTGTGATACATTGCATTTTGCGTGCGTTTCGAGCATGATTCTGAAGTTTCCGTCATCAACGGAGTTTTAGTTTCAAAGAGAAAAATTGCAAAAGCTACGGAAACGAAGAAGTATATACAGTACTGTATTACAGTATTTAAATTTCAAGGAAGACTTTTTTATATTCAATCCCCGTTCTAGCTTTAAAGCATTCTAATTTTATCTGGGTGACAATTTTTTCCTCAAATAAGCACAGGGATTTTTAAACGACTGACAAAACATTGACCTTAAAAGTGAACAGTGTCCTGTCCCGACTTTTCGGCAAGAATATTTTCAAAAGCTTTGAAAGCAAAAGAAAACGAAAAGAAGTTGGGATTCAAATGGAAGTGATTCGGAATCTATAGTTGTCCAGAGTTTTCAGTTCACTACGTCAAAACTCAAGTGAAAGAAAGTTGAAAATGTTTTGCATGCGTCTAACTTCCTCCCCGCGTTTTGACGACAAAGCACCGAATCTTTCATCGCGAATCTTTAGAAAAAAGATTGCATGAACTATCGTAATTTTGGATGAGACTGAACCTCCACCAACTATTTTACGAACCAAGAGGTCACTTTATTGGTATACACATGTAAATGCCATCCTTGACATTTGATTCAATAATACGCATGCCTACGATTAATTTGCATTTTGCGCGACGCTACGCAGAATCGAATTAGAGTGAATACATTTCTTGTGCAATTCTTGTCAAGACGATACGAGCTTCTATTTCATGAGATTCAACATTAAAGCCAAGCGTGGGAACGATTTCGTGCACGATTCATTGAAGGCTGCAGCATTTTGAAGATTGAGTAGCTGTTATAAAAACAAAGTAGCTTCAACATTCACCCATAGCTCTATTAAATCAACCCTTCTGCTACATACGCCTTCATTATTCTTCTGGTGAGATTTTAATCTTAGGAGCTGCAACAGATTATCCTGGCAAATTTAGTCCAAGTCCAGCATTAATATTTATTTAGTTTTCATTTTGCGCAGAAAAATTGTCAGATTGCTTGTTTTTCGACCTACAGCCATAGGATTAAGTTTGCTCAACAGCTAGATATTTTCAATTTATATTATACAGTACATGTGGTACCTTGCAATTTGACTCTAATCCATTGCTGGACTAGGGTCAGATTGCAAAGCAGTCAAATTGTAAGACAACAGCAAATGGCACATTTTCTACATGGCATTTGACATTTCATGTCTCTCCACAGGTTGAATTGGGTGATGGTAGAGGTCAAATTGAGAGTTGACCTTGATCCCAGTTTATTTGACCATCAAATTGCGGGATGGTTGAATTGTGGGAGGTCAAATTGCAATGTACCACTTCCTGTACATTACTTGTCTTATCCAGCTACTGCACTGTATTGACTCTTAATTCGGTGGTTCGATAACATCGAAGTCACTGGAAACTACGTTGGTTTTACAGAGTAGGACTTTCAATTTTTAGGAAAACAAGTTTTAAAAACAAATATCGGGGACAGACTTAAAGGAATTAGGAACTATGCAACATACGCTTCATGAAATCAAAAATGTTTACCCTCTTAGCTCTATGTAACTTAGATTTATAGGCATTCTTGTGCTATTGATAAGAGAGAAGACCAATAAAAAGGTAACTTGATGCTTTTATAGTGGCCAAGTGCGAAAATTTTACCGTTTTCTTCAAGTCAAGTACATTATCTATACTCATTAAACTGCTTATTGAACAACTTTGACTTCAAGGCCCGCAAAGATCACAAATTATATCTTTGCGTAATTCTGAATTTTTCACCAGAAAAAAATGCACGTTTCCCAAACTCAGGTACTCGTGAAGTCAAATTTGTGCATGAGTTCGACTTGGCTGTTGTATACCCCTCCCGAAAATATTAGCAGAAATATATTGATCTACGAATTGACGTCATTAATTTTGGGCAAATTTGCAAATTTTATGCTATTTTGTTGCAAACGGCTGTTCTTGATCAGAATTGTAATCAAGGAATGATGAGAAAAAGTACCATATGCAATGTATGGCATCTATAGAACCAAAGAAGGTTAATATCTATATTTTCCTGTTCATGGCGCAAAAGCTATTCGTTAATGGGCAAAATTTGTCACCTTCATTCGAATGATTCAAGAACTCAGCAGTTGAAGGGTATCTATAATGCCCTTTGGGTCCGCAGAACCAGAAGGGTTTCAAAGGCACGTTACCGAACCCTAGCTGGAGAATCCCCAGAGCTTCTCCAAAGAGTAAAAAAACTGTTTTAAACTAGCTAGCAGACGTTTATAACAAAGCTTTTGACTCACGCTCTGAACGGCTAGGCTTCGTATATTACAATAAAATTTAAGTGAGAAAGTTGACTCTGACTCCAAATAATTGAATGAAGAAGCAAAGAAAATGACTGTTTCCACGACAATTACACTTGTGTCCGTGATGAAAGAGGTTGAGAAGCAGATTCACTAGTAAAAAACACACAATCCATCATCGATCGGTTTAAAGAAAAATAATGGCGGTATAATTGTATGCTGCAGTAGGAATCTAAATTGTTCATGGAATCCTACGTACCTTAGATAAAATAGATTAAATAATAGGCACAATCTCCCATTTCGGGAAAAAAAAAAAAGCTCTATATACTGGTATTCATCGGCAGGTTTTATTTTATTATTTTCTTTGAGCATTTTTAAAAATACAAAGAATCTTCAAGAAATATGCCGAGGTGCGATATGTTATTTATAAGAATGGTTGAATTGTGGGAGGTCAAATTGCAATGTACCACTTGCTGTACATTACTTGTCTTATCCAGATACTGCACTGTATTTTATACAGTGCAGTCTTATAAATAAACATTCTTATAAATAAGTGGTGCGCGAATTTTCAGCTGCAAATGATCATACGCATACAGTTGAAGTTTGAGCAAAAAATGCGAGCAGATCCTTCTGAGTGAACAGCAATCTTGAATTTGGCCTCCATTTGCCTAAAGCAACAAACCTCACTTGAGAAAAACAAGCCTCAACCCAAGAAAAAAGCAGGAGAAAAACACTGAGAATGATTAAAAAATACAACATGCTACTTCATTTGAAGAGGTTTCTCATTTTTTTGACAAAATTTGATCGATCGTCTGCAAATATTGTTTCGAAAACTGAGTGCGAGACTTGCCGATCCGAAGCATATAATGTTATTTTAAATTCACTCTTTCAACTGAGACTCCAAATAATTGAAAAAAGAAGAAAAGAAAATGACAGTTTCCACGACAATTACACTTGTGTCCGAGAAAGAGGTTGACAAACAGATTCACCAGCAAAAAACGCACAATCCATCATCGATCGGTTTACAGAAAAATAATGGCGGTATAATTGTATGCTGCAGTAGGAATCAAAATGTTTCATGGAATACCACGTACCGTAGATAAAATAGATAAAATAATGGGAACAATCTCCCATCCCGGACAAAAAATGCTCGATGTAACGGTTTTCATCGGCAGGTTTTATTTTATTATTTTCTTTGAGCATTTTTAAAAATACAAAGAATCTTCAAGAAATATGCCGAGGTGCGATCAAACATTTGTATAAATAACTGGTGCGCGAATTTTTCAGCTGCAAATGATCATACGCATACAGTTGGGGTTTGAGCAAAAAATGCGACCAGATCCTTCTGATTGAACAAAAATCTTGAATTTGGCCTCCATTTGCCTAAAGCAACAAACCTCACTTGAGAAAAACAAGCCTCAACCCAAGAAAAAAGCAGGAGAAAAACACTGAGAATGATTAAAAAATACAACATGCTACTTCATTATAATAATATACAGTATTCCTATACTGTATATAGAAGTGAACCATTGGATTAAAAATCAGAATTTCGATGGAGTTCATCATTTTGAGGAAATCTGATCCCTTGATTGTGCTGCCAATTTGGCTGCTGCAAAAAAATCTCCAATAAGAAAATCATTCCTATCTGATATTTCCTTTCTGTTCTTGCCTATTTTTTGATTGTCGTGTTCATTTTATATACAGTATTTCATGAATAAATGAACAGAACACTTTATTTGCTGCTTTTCAGCATTCACAAGGTTCAATCTATTTCATCCTGATGGCATTTCTTGGTACAGTAGAACCAAATAAAATGGTTCCAAATAGGAATTACTACAGGACGCTGTTCCTTAAAAAAAAAATGCTACAGATATTCGTTGTTTGACCGACCACCTTGGTTAAAGACATCTATGTAGCGAGTTTTGTTTATTTAAGTCTCATACACAATGTGCAACTACTTGTGGCAACTAATGAAGTTCGCATTAACATAGGTCAGATCAACTGTACAACAAGAGGTACGGTAATAATTAATAGTCCTACTGATGGTCCCTTCTTTAATGTGAGAGAATTATTTTTACATATATTTCGTCATTATCTAGACAAGGCTTCTATATAAGGTCGCTGATGATGATAATTTTTTTTTACGACGTCCCGAAGGCCCATTGTAAAAAACCCAGGGATCAGTTGCGAGACCAGAGCGGCAAGTCGAAAGTGCAATAATCTGCGATACGTGGTCGGGATGAATGGCGAGGAGGGCGGGACTCGTTTCGCGGCAACCAGCAGATATTACGCGTAATGGGTGTGAGTTCAAACGGCGGCGCAAACACGTTTATTTGCCGTAGGTCCGCCCAAGCGTATTTAAGCAAGGGAAGCAGGAACGGCGACGACGACGCAGCGACTGACTATTCTTAACTCGCCTTGTGCTGTATATACCCGAGGGTAGTGCCAAAGTTCTCGTGGTTTCGTACTTTTGGGAGAGGGGGACCTACCTTGATAATATTCTGTGCACAGAGGCTTCCATTTTCAAGGCAAATCAGTGACATTTTTCTCCGATAAAATAGTTCCTGAAAAGACTTATGAAGACTGTAATTCAGTTAATCAAAATCTATCAGATGAAATTGGATTTGACAAAAATATTGTTGGAAGGGGTGATAATTCTCAAACATACTCGCGGCGTATAACTATGAATCAAGAAAATTGAATCCTTTTCTTTGTGATGCATGTTTCCATTAGATAATCTACCCCAAAGATTCAAAAAAATTAAAAAAATCCGACTTTAAATTTTTTTAATGTGTAGCTTCATTTCATACAGTCAACTGTACTTCTTATTTAAATTACCAATTTCTTGAAAGTTTGAATTTATTTCGAATATAATTTTATTTGCAGTGCTAAAATTTCTGCATTATTTAGTCATTAGTATTTTCCGTCAGTTGTTTTTTCTTGGATGAAAGAGATTAAAAATTTGTTTCTCAGGATAGATGAATGTCATTTTTTGAATTGTTAATCGAATGAAAATTCTTCTGAAGTGTAGAAAATTAGGTCCCCTATTATTCCCAGATACAGGTGAACTTCAATAAATCAAACCTCCCTGAGTCAAAAACCCCCAAGTTGAATTTTTTTCAAGTTCCCATCTGTAATGAAAATTCTTCTGAAGTGTAGAAAATTAGGTCCCCTATTATTCCCAGATACAGGTGAACTTCAATAAATCAAACCTCCCTGAGTCAAAAACCCCCAAGTTGAATTTTTTTCAAGTTCCCATCTGAATCCCCGTAGAAATAATAAATCAAAAACCTCCCCAAGTCAAAGGCTTTTCCCCTGCTCAAACCTCCAGAAGTCATATTTTCTGTGGCCTGTTGGCCATTATTTTCTTGACCCAAGAAAGAAAAAAGAAATAAAAACGGAAATTGATGTTTTCAAAGGAAGTGAAAGACTTATTTGGGCAAATGAACCCATGCATCCAAGTTCAGCATCCCTTCAACTCATTTAAGAAGCCATTTACACCATCATCATTCACAATTTTGGACAATTTTTCCAAGTTTCCCAGACCAAAAAGGCTTTCTATTGTAGCTCAAAGCTGCATAATTCAAAACCTCCCAAAGTCATTTTTTTGCTAGTTCCTTGAAATTAGACTTAGAGAGGTTTAACTAATTTTTGCTTGGTATTCATTCATGTTTTCACATTAATAAAATTGTTGAAGCCCCTATACTGGACAATACAAGGCTAAGGAGAATGATCGCAGGTTATGCTGAAAATTGTTTTCAATGACAGATAAATCAAGTTTATGAAAATTACTCTGAATACTGCAGAAGAAAAATGAAGCTCTCCATTGTCAGCTACTGCAGGAAAAATACTGTAATTTTCAAAAATGTATTTGTTTTACATTTTAATGGACAGAACCGAAAAAAATATTGATACTGTACTTTCCAAAAAAAATGTCTTTGTGATGAAATTGCTCAGAAAAATGAATTACTGTACAAGGAATAATTGAATCAAAATCCTTCATAAATGCGAGTTACATTTTATTCGCTGAAATTGTGCCCAGCTTCATTTTGAACTTTCATTATCTTTCCAACACCAAAAAAATGCGGAAACTTTAGGTCATAAACCTCGTATACTCGCAGTTACACACGCATGCAGCGTACGTAAAGCTCCCACGCTAGCTCGCACACAGTAGATCAAAAATCACAGAAAGCGCAGCTGTCAGCTGTGACCCAAACACACCGGGTGGTACTTAGGGGTCGTCGTCGAGCGTCAGCGTCGATGTCGGTTTCTCTCGCTCTCTACGAATGTCTGTCTGTCTGTCTGTCTATCTTTCTCTCTCTCTCTCTCTCTCTTTCTCTGTTTTGTTCGCTATGGTACATAGCGAACCAAGCGTTCGGCTGGCGGCCATGTTTGCGTATATTGTCAAAGGCTCGCCTTTTTCTGCTGAGCGAGCGACACCGACGTCGACGAACGACGACGACGACGACGACGAGTATGTACCGGTACGTACGTCATATGGAGAGGAGACCTCATCGAAAGCGAATGCACACACGCAGGCACTCGTCTAGGTTTTTCGCTTTTCACGCACGTTCACGCATTTTTTTTTCAAAGAGAGACAGAGCTAAGTGAGACAGGGCTTTAAAAGACAGAACTTTATTCACTGCTATAAACCCGAAAAGGGACCGCTCCTAACCATGCTACCAGCACAATAATAAACAGGGCGGAGCCTCTCGCAGTCCTCCTTCGGTAGAACGTAAAGTAAAAGTTAAAGTAAGGAGAATATATACTTTCGTCACTAAATCGGCACTTTAAGGTATACGACCAAGTGTCCACTTGAGCCCAAGGCACTTTTATAAAAGCCTATTCCTTGCACACTGCAAAATTCTTCCAGATATTAAAAACGAGCGTTTATTTATTTTTTATTTTTTTGACAATGGAAAAAGACAACGTTCTTTTAATGGCGATTTAAGATGGAGTCTTCTTGAATCAAAGATGTGGTAACAGGCAAACTGAATCATTTTTTTGATGAATTTTATTTCTGTGTTCAGTCATGTAAATGATTTAGATTTATGCGACGAAAACATTTGTGATACTTTTCCATTTGAATTTCCCTTCACTCGATTGGTCGTCATTCTTAGCTTATCAATATCTAGATCTCCGGAAGAATACAGAATGATAAAATGAGGCCATAAAATCGATTCCTTCCACGAATAATGAATTTTTCTCAAATTTCTCAGTTCATCGCTGAACCAAAGCATATATTATAGTACACCAGAAATTTCCCCCCAAAATTTAGAGGGATCGCATCAAAAATTAAAAAACGGAGAAATGTATTCCGGAAACTGAAAATTTTTGTAGAGCATCATTGCTGAGTAGTGATGATTCGATTTTTAAGCGCCATTTTCACCCTCATGGCAAATTTCGCCTTCCTTTCCGAGTTTTTTGCTCATGATTTGATTGCAGGATAGTGTTCACCAATAGTGTAGTACGATTTAACCATGCGTGTCTAAACTGAATATTTATTTTTATAATGCGCATTACCCACACTCAAGTTTGCCGCCGCGTTTGTGCAAATAAACGGCATCCAGGCGGGTTCGCATAAATTCGTTCCCTTCGTCCTTGCCGCTGCTGCTGCGTCGCTGACTGATAAGAAGACTCGCCTTGTGCTGTATATACCCGAGGGTAGTGCCGAAGTTCTCGTGGTTTCGTACTTTTGGGAGAGGGGGACCTACCTTGATAATATTCTGTGCACAGAGGCTTCCATTTTCAAGACGAATGAGTGACATTCTTCACCGATAAAATAGTTCTTGAAAAGACAAATGAAGACTGTAATTCAGTTAATCAACATCTATCAGCTTAAGTTGGATTTGACAAAAACATTCTTGGAAAGGGTAATAATTCTCAAATATCCTCGCGGCATATATAACTATGATTAAAGAAAATTGAATCCCTTCATTTGTGATGCATGTTTCCATTGGATTATCTATCCCAAAGATTAAAAAAAAATCCCGAGTTTCAATTTTGTAAATGTGTAGCTTCATTTCATACAGTCAACTGTACTTCTTATTTAAATTACCAATTTCTTGAAAGTTTGAATTTATTTCGAATATAATTTTATTTGCAGTGCTAAAATTTCTGCGTCATTAGTATTTTCCGTCAGTTGTTTTTTCTTGGATGAAAGAGATTAAAAATTTGTTTCTCAGGATAGATGAATGTCATTTTTTGAATTGTTAATCAAATGAAAATTCTTCTGAAGTGTAGAAAATTAGGTCCCCTATTATTCCCAGATACAGGTGAACTTCAATAAATCAAACCTCCCTGAGTCAAAAACCCCCAAGTTGAATTTTTTTCAAGTTCCCATCTGAATCCCCGTAGAAATAATAAATCAAAAACCTCCCCAAGTCAAAGGCTTTTCCCCTGCTCAAACCTCCAGAAGTCATATTTTCTGTGGCCTGTTGGCCATTATTTTCTTGACCCAAGAAAGAAAAAAGAAATAAAAACGGAAATTGATGTTTTCAAAGGAAGTGAAAGACTTATTTGGGCAAATGAACCCATGCATCCAAGTTCAGCATCCCTTCAACTCATTTAAGAAGCCATTTAACCACCAGAATATCATCATTCACAATTTTGGACAATTTTTCCAAGTTTCCCAGACCAAAAAGGCTTTCTATTGTAGCTCAAAGCTGCATAATTCAAAACCTCCCAAAGTCATTTTTTTTGCTAGTTCCTTGAAATTAGACTTAGAGAGGTTTAACTAATTTTTGCTTGGTATTCATTCATGTTTTCACATTAATAAAATTGTTGAAGCCCCTATACTGGACAATACAAGGCTAAGGAGAATGATCGCAGGTTATGCTGAAAATTGTTTTCAATGACAGATAAATCAAGTTTATGAAAATTACTCTGAATACTGCAGAAGAAAAATGAAGCTCTCCATTGTCAGCTACTGCAGGAAAAATACTGTAATTTTCAAAAATGTATTTGTTTTACATTTTAATGGACAGAACCGAAAAAAATATTGATACTGTACTTTCCAAAAAAAATGTCTTTGTGATGAAATTGCTCAGAAAAATGAATTACTGTACAAGGAATAATTGAATCAAAATCCTTCATAAATGCGAGTTACATTTTATTCGCTGAAATTGTGCCCAGCTTCATTTTGAACTTTCATTATCTTTCCAACACCAAAAAAATGCGGAAACTTTAGGTCATAAACCTCGTATACTCGCACAATGTGTGCGTACGTCGCATGCATTTCGAGGGTGCGATCGAGCGTGTGTCATCTAGTTTTTAGTGTCTTTCGCGTCGACAGTCGACACTGGGTTTGTGTGGCCCACCATGAATCCCCAGCAGCAGCGTCAGCGTCGATGTCGGTTTCTCTCACTCTCTACGAATGTCTGTCTGTCTGTCTGTCTATCTTTCTCTCTTTCTCTGTTTTGTTCGCTATGGTACATAGCGAAGCAAGCGTTCGGCTGGCGGCCATGTTTGCGTATATTGTCAAAGGCTCGCCTTTTTCTGCTGAGCGAGCGACACCGACGTCGACGACGAACGACTACGACGACGACGAGTATGTACCGGTACGTCATATGGAGAGGAGACCTCATCGAAAGCGAATGCACACACGCAGGCACTCGTCTAGGTTTTTCGCTTTTCACGCACGTTCACGCATTTTTTTTTATTTCTCTCTGTCTCGATTCACTCTGTCCCGAAATTTTCTGTCTTGAAATAAGTGACGATATTTGGGCTTTTCCCTGGCGAGGATTGGTACGATGGTCGTGTTATTATTTGTCCCGCCTCGGAGAGCGTCAGGAGGAAGCCATCTTGCATTTCATTTTCAATTTCATTCCTCTTATATATGAAAGCAGTGATTTAGCCGTGAAATTCCATATGCTGGTTCACAGGTGAACTCGGGTTCCGTGAAAATATTTTCGGCATTTCCTGCCACGAACTTATCAGCAAAACACTGCAAAATTCTTCGAGATATTAAAGACAAGGTTTTTTTTTAAAATTTCGATCATGAAAAAGGCAACGTTCTATTAATGGCGATTTAAGATGGCGTCCTCTCAAATCAAATGTGGTAACAGGCAAACTGAATCATTATATTGATGAATTGTGCATCATCATATTTCTGTGCATCGTCAAATGATTTAGATTTATGCGACGAAAACATTCGTGATACTTTCCCAATTAAATTTCCCTGCACTCGATTGGTCGTCATTCTTAGCTTATCAATATCTAGATTTTCGGGAGAATACAGAATGATGAAATGAGGCCATTCAGTCGATTCCTTCCACGAATAATGCATTTTTCTCAAATTTCTCAGTTCATCGCTGAACCAAAGCATATATTATAGTACACCAGAAATTTCCCCCCAAAATTTAGAGGGATCGCATCAACAATTGAAAAACGGAGAAATGTATTCCGGAATCTGAAAATTTTTGTAGAACATCATTGCTGAGTATAGTGATGATTTGATTTTTAAGCGACATTTTCACCCTCATGGCAAATTTCGCCTTCCTTTCCGAGTTTTTTGCTCATGATTTGATTGCAGGATAGTGTTCACCAATAGTGTAGTACGATTTAACCATGCGTGTCTAAACTGAATATTTATTTAATTATTTATTCACACTGCAAAAATATTGGAGACAAGTATGGAGACCACCGTTCCTTGTATTCGAGATAAAAATCGGTTTTTGGAAGTGATAGGTCCGATATTTTTCGAGAACATCATTCGGTAGGACGTACTGTATGTGAATCTCGATATCGGGACACCAAATACAATTTTTTTTGAAAATACAGTTCTGTATATTATTATGCTTGCTTTCTATTCACAGCTGAAGGATTGAACGAAAATGTCATCCACGATTCATCATCGCCCAGCAGCAGCAGCAATACGCATCATCGAGCAGCCATCAGCAGAAGCATCTCATCATGAAATCAAGAATTCCTCGGGATTCTTGACAAGTGAAAACAATGCTGGAAACAGTCTTTTACAACAGCCAACTGATCACCAGCTTCAGCAACAATCGACACAACTGGATCAAGCGAACAACGATGTTGCCACTGACCTGAGGTTCCACAATCGAAATGAAGTCGCTGTGTCCGCTAGTCTGGAAGTCAACAATGGTTCCGTCGACTTGCGACGTGAGTTGCGAATAATTCAATAAGTTTCGAAACAAAACAGAAAATGTATGAATCTTTCCGTGGGTTACAGTGACGTGAAAAGAAACTCGATAATTGAACCTTGAAATTTGAGCAGTGATGGCCATTTCCCAGAGGAAAATACGCCAGAAATGAATGGGTCAAATTTTGGATTTGTTTTTCTTCCAGAACGATTGAAGGTGTCACTCAGAAAATTAAAGATTACTCGAATTTCTTCTGAAAAAAGACGTAGGTTTCAAGATATTTTTCGAAAGTGGAGTATGTCGATTGAATCAGTTCGGTGTGGGTTATATTATTCTCAATTAATGTACGTTTTCGCGATTAATTCAAGTTTTATTCGAGGCTTGCTGCGTGAGAGTTTTCAGAACACTTTCTGCAAGTTTCAACTTGATGGTTACCTTAAAAATATGAATATCTAAGGCAGCCTGGTTATTAGCTCTGTATTTTTTCCTGGGAGTACAATAAATGGTCAAACAAACAGAAAGCTTTATTTTCCACTTTTCAGCATTCACAAGGTTCAATCAACATTCCCACATCCAAACCCCCTCCCCCTCTATCCCAAATCCATCCAAATGCATTTAATCACTTCAGAATGCAAAACAAAGAGATAAAGCTGTATGGAAACCAAAATAAAAGAAAATACATTCCACAATGTAGAATTGCACAACTGACGTCTATGCGTACACCCCGTTCTTTCCCTGAAATTGAAAACAAAATATCAGTAACAAGAATTGCAGCATAAGCTAGAATTATAGCAATTGCAGCAGTTACTGACCCCAATTTAAAGTCAATTTAAAGTGAGTACAACTTTGAAATTATTAATTCACACACTTTTACAGTACTTCTATTTTTAAAGACATTTAAAATGTTTTCCCCCAAAAAGTGTGTGTCTTTTTAATGCTCAAAGAATTGGTACAGAATCAATTTTTTAAATATTTTAATCAGTTCAACAGAGCTTGGGTAAGGTTCTGTATCGTTTTTCCGAGAATCCTCGAGTCGGGATAATTGTTCAAAGAATTACTGGGTAACTTATGATTGTTTATTTAATCAAATGATAAAATAACCAGATCTCAACTTATGGATGATACATTTAGGAATTAATCATGAGCAAGGGTTCGTTTCCTTCCACCAACGCTTGAATTTTCCCATGAAACATTTTCAAGCATACGCAGACGACAAAAAAATTGATATATTTTTTTTAATATTCCAATGAACTGACTACAGTACCAGTAAGTTACATCTTCTTTGATGCCGAACTCCTAATTAAGCTGCCCAAAAATAGGGAACAAAGAAATGTGCAAACGTTATTGGTGTCTATCACTCCAATCATCGAGTGTTATTTTGCCATTTGCAAAATAAATAAAAAAGAATCGCTCTACGGAATCTAAAAAAAATCAATCATGAATTACCGTTTTGCATCTCGAAGTATCTGAAATCAAACAGAACCGCAAGTGGTCATCGAAGAGGATAGTTCGTTGGCGAGGAATTTCTCGGATGTGTCGAACCCGGAAACCCCAGTGGCCGTGGGCGACAACCCAGACGGGATCGCAGTTTCTGCGCAAATCCGAATCATTCCAGGCCCAGCAGCAGAAGGTATCCCTCCTGTTCCTGATCTTCCTCCGGAAGAACCACAACACCAACCCTTGCCTTCTCTGGGCCACGGTGGAGGAGGAGGAGGACACCAACACCACCACCATCCCCATCATCACCAGCACCACGCACTGGAACCGGTGGTGCACATCCCTGACTCGGCGTGGTGCCACAGCGAATCGCAGTACCAGGATTTGCAGGAGTACGGAGAACCGCGGATGAGTTACGTGGACCCCGGGAGGGTTTACGTCATCAATTCTCCTGGTTAGTGTATATATAAACGCAATTTGCGCGGATATTAATTGAAATGTCCTTGAATATAATCCAGAAGAGCAATATTCACAAAGGCATCAAAGGACTGACATTCATTGCACTGTAGGTGGATGAAATTGAGACTCTTGATGCTGTCAATAGACTGCAGTGTGGGTCGACTCAGCGATGATTCATTCCTCTGGAAAATCGAAAAGGGTAGATTAATTTTAGTCCACGTTTCCCCGAATTTCACTTGCAGGCACTTGTTGAAAACTCTGCCTAACATTATAACATCTAAACTATGTCTCAATAAGATACATAGACGCTTTGCCACTATAAAAAAAATAAATAAAACTTTTTCATCTACAAAATTTTAACATCTCTTGTAGAAATTGAGCTTCCTATATAGAGAAAATATAAAAATATACACCATTATCAATGTACCCCAATTCTTATTGCAAAAGAAGATAATTTCTGCTTCTCTTTTTTTTTCATATGAAGCCTCTTAATACAGTGAGACCCCAAACTGCAGACACCCCAACATACAGATGATTTGACTTGGGGACACTTGGAGATTCAAAAAATTGGACCAAGCATCCAGACAATACCGCAACATACTGACTCTTTTTCAGCATATCTGATAAACTGCAAAACTTTGATTTTTAATTATTCAAAATTTGAATATCTGTTGTAAAAATTGAGCAATTTATATTCACAAAAGTTGAAAATGTAAATCATTATATATTTACTTGAATTTATAATGAAAAACAGGTTAATTGTGTGCTTGTTTTTTTTAGCATTCTCTATCATCTATCCATCTGTGATTAGGGTAGCAAGACTTATGCTTTTGTTTGTACAGTATTCATGAGTCCTTTTCATGCCATGTATAGAGGATCATATTCTGCCTGGGTTTCTTTAGTCTGCCTGGTTATATTCAGTTGAGAAAAACCAAAGTTGTACCTTTCAGTTGAGAAACCAATTTTACTTGATTTTTGGAATTTATTCCTAATTTTCCATGAACATGAGAAACAATTAAATGAGTTCCCATTGAAGTCTATGGGAAAACAAGGTCTCAAAAAGTGACATTCTGACATAGGGAAACTATTCAAATACAAATTATGTCCACATCTTTGGGTCTCACTTATCAGAGTACTGTATGTGTAATTTTTTTTTGCTATTAAGACTCATTTTCAAATCAAAAGGGTACATTCTGAACTGTTTTCTTCTGCAAAAATATTGTATGCCACTTATTAGTGAATTCAAGTTTTTTAACGGGACTTTTATATAATTATATTCCAAAAAAGAAGGATAAGTGATTAAAAATGTTCCCATTGAAGTCTAATGAGGGATATGAGATCCAACATGCAGGCATTCCAACACACAAATGCAGTCCAAGAAGTAATTACGTCTGCATTTCATCTCTATGAGTAAATTGGAAACGTCCCTTCAAATAGCATATGAGAATTCCGAATCAGATTGGAAGAAATTATATGTCATTAAAACTGATTGCGGGATCAATAAGAAACAACCGTTGATGGATTCTGGTGCCTTATTTTACTAGGGTTCATAATACTGTACGCGAAAAAAATATGGTCATGTTCGTCCGGTAATATAATGTATTTAATTAGAAAGTAGAATAAATAAGCTTTAGGAATCCAGGCTGACTTTTCTCTTCGTTATTTTATAATTGAAGGGGATTTCACGGAAACGGGATTGAGGTACCACCCGACCTCCTCGTCTCTACCACACGCAGTCGTGATCCACCCTTCAGCTGTGGAGCCTGAAGAACCAGGTGGAACCACCGAGTACCGAATGGCGACCGTGGATTCCAGGGACATTGTTAGACTGTCGATGGAAGCAGCCGACAGAGTGCCAAGTCACCACCAGTTGATCCCGACTGACCATTATTACCGCTCCGATGTGATGGTACCCATTGGTGGGAGCACCGGGGCACCACCTGGTAGTGGTGGTGGGCACAACAGGGTCTTGCACCATCCAGTCCACCAGCACCATCATCATCATCATCACCACCACTTGGAGCCCGAGTTGGCAGAACAGCAAACGTACATCGTGGAAGACCCAGCTACGGTCAGTGCAGTGTATGTTGCACAATAATGCAAAACAAAAATACTTGACAGTGAAAACACCGTACTCTACATTCCACTGCTGCCATCAAAAATAGTGAAGTTAATTATGAGTGCGTATTTCACTGCTCAGGTCTATTTGATCGGATTTATCCCAAAAAGTCTAATCCAGTGTTCACCGACCTTATTATTGGGTTCGCAGACCGGCGAATTTCCATAAGATTTTCTAGGTGGACCAGCAAATTCCCAAAAACTGTCTGTGGATTGGCAAAGTTTCATAAGAGTTTTACAGACTTTAAAAAATTGTGCTTGATAGAGTTTGTGGCAGGCATACAAAAGTTTCTGCTTCTTGCAAAAATTAAGTTAAGCACCTATATGAAGCAGCTATAGCTGTGTGTGATAATTTTTTTTTTAGAAAGATGGGCTTTCAAAAAGGTTTATTATGAAGAAAAAACAAAACATTTTATTTCAGCGGGTGAAAATGTGTCTGCAGTGTTATTAGGAGAAGAGCCAACTTTTATTTATCATCAAATGGTTTCAACTACCATTGTTGTTCTCAAAGTTTAATGATAACAGAGTTTATTCCTACTTTTAATAAATATTGTATGCCGAAAATTTTCCTCAGACCGGCAGAAAACTTCTGCAGACCACGGGTTGGGGAACACTGGTCCAATCCAAGGTTAATTGACAGATTAGAAAAAATAAACAACCTTGAATAGTCTTGACAACAACTTTGGAAAGCTCTCATACACTACAACTGGATGTATTTGTCTTTTCTGCATGCAATTCAAAATCTAGATTATCTCTAATACGCAGAAATCAGATCTTCATAATTTATTTAAAATCCAACAATGCGACATGAACTATTGAAGGTCAACGCAATATTCGTGTCATAATTGAGGTAATTATTTTATGATGTGAAGAAATAACTGAAAGAAATATTCTGGGAAAATATATACGTTAGTATACAATGCTGCATATTTCAATGAATTCACATTTTTGCGCTGGATTTTGTTTTCTTGTTTCAATTGCAGTTCATTTACGAGGATTTGCACGCCGTAATGTATCCATCATTAATTATGCATTCGAAGATTCCTGAAAAGTCTGAAAACTCTCGACTTTATTGTTTGGCAAACAGTAAAACTCCATGACAACAAATCTTGGTGCAGTGCATTTTTGTCATGATGAATGTTTTGTCATGACAATTTTTCTGGGTCTTGGCAGTTTCTAGATAGGTACCATATTGGAAAAAATCTAATTTTAACAAAATAATTTTAAGCCATTTGGAATATAACGCATTTTTGTCCTATTTCTGTGCATGGGTCACGAAAATTTTTTCTGGGTCTTGGCAGTTTCTAGATAGGTACCATATTGGAAAAAATCTAATTTTAACAAAATAATTTTAAGCCATTTGGAATATAACGCATTTTTGTCCTATTTCTGTGCATGGGTCACGAAAACTATTTGATAATTGTCAGAAAAAATCTGGCTTGCGCACTACAGTTTTCAAGTTTCACAGAATAGCAAAGCTTCCTTCAGAAAAAATTCAAAGTTCCAGAAAATAAACAGCATGACATATTTCTTGGAAATCCTTTGTAGTTCCATCTGGGAATGTTAACTTTCCTTCCAAATTAACAATATGTCCTAGAGTATGCTCACACAATATATTTGAAGTTAATGAATTAATAAATTTATTTGGAAGGAAGTTTTTCTGATAAGTCTACCTTTTGTCAATTTTTTTTACACAAACATCAAATTATAGAAAGGTAGATTTATTATGGAATACGTCCAGCTGTACTGATGGATATTCAAACATTTTCCTCTTAATTTCATCATAGACAAGATTCATACATTATTTAAAGACAAGATTTATGCATTATTTAAAGACAAGATTTGTACATTATTTCAAGAGAAAATTTATATATGGTCTTAAATTATCTGTTGTGGAAGCTCTTTGCAAAATTCAACACCTATTCCCCGTAAAATTTGAGTCTGAAATGTGCTAAAAACCACAATTTCCTGTATACTGTACTGTATAAAGTTTCAACTAAAGAAAAATCTAAAGATCCAACAACTGATGTAAACTGTGAAGTTGATGCACAATGTATACCTGATCTGATGTACAGTACTGTAGAATACAGTGGTCTTTTTAATCCCGCAGCTGCAAGAAATGTCCTACAGCACGAGAGGCTATACCGTGGAGGCACACGCCATCGGCCCCCGCGGCGAATATTCCTCCACGCGTTGCGGGGGTCCCGAAGACGTGCCGCAGCCCTACGACGCGAGGAACACTTACATTCCTGTCGGAGCGACATCTGTTGTTCCCGTTTCCGCGATAAAAAAAAATCACCTGAAAACCCTGGTGCTGTTTGTCTTGAGCTGGTGGTACTTAAGTACATTATATAAATACAGTACAGTTTCAAATTTTTAGCCTGTCACTGAATACAAGGCAAGCCTTGTCAATCCAAGCTTAAAATATTGAGCTTTACCTTCTACATATTGGCACAGGTGGCACAATTGATGCAATGTCAGAAAATGCCTGAAAATTAAAATGAGACCATTTGGATTATGCAAGAGTTATCTTCCAAAAATGTCGCTCTGATCATGATTTGATATACAGTTGAACCTCTTCAAGTCAAATTTGAAGAGGCCAGCAAAATAATTAACTCATCAAGGAGGTTTTGAGCTAGAGAAACAACTGTTTTTGCCTTTAAAAAAAAAGAAAAATCAGAGCAAGTTGAAATAAGAGATCTCTCTTGACCAGAAACTGCATGGTAAAAAAGTTGACAGGATGCTAAACTCAGAGGCAAGGGTTAATTTTCCCAGTTATTCTTTCACTTCCATTCAAAAATCATCATTACATTTTTATTGCTTTTCTCTTATCCAAGTGACAAAAATAATGGCCAGAATGCCTCCAGAAATTTTGAGTTATAGAGAATTGATGGACAATTCTTTGAGATAAGGAAGGTTTTTGGTAAATTGTTTCTAGCCCTTCTGCTGCAAAGGGTTCTTTCCCATTGCAGGACTAAATTGGGATTTTCTTGGATGGGCCTGTGTTTCATGTTTTTTGAAGGCCATGAAAGCCCAGCCAGGTGGTCTAAGGCAAAGTCAGACTTTGTCAGGGAAAACTGGTGTGTTCAGATTTTTTGAGGTCAGACTTCTTCTGCAAATCTTACCCTTCTTCTGGTGCCAAAAATGGAAGAATTTAGAGCCTCCCAATAAAAAAACTAATCCATTCAGGGGATAAAAAAGCAAAGCCTTGGGGATGGTTTTTTTAAATTTTTAAGCGAACATTTTCTGTGCTTAAAAAAAAAAATTCACAGGATTTTTCCTGACTTTGTCCTGGATGCACTGTCCAGTATTTTTTATAAATCTGTTTTTGCAGGAACCAAATTTTGAAAAAAAGTCTGACTTTGCTGCCCAAGGGCCATAGGGGACTCAGACAAGGACTTGAAAAATATTTTGAAATAATGGCATATGGGGGTACAGTATTTGACTTAGAATGGTTCAAGTCATTTAGGTTTACCAGTAGTTTAGTTCTTGTGTGTGACCTTTGTTCAGATGCCTGAAATTGCAGAGTTTAATCCTGTGTTTTGTCTTACAGTACATAAACTACATATACACACATGTCACACAGTACATACAGTATTTATAAACTGTTACAACTATACAGCGGTTTTGCCACTAACATGAATCCTTTCTCAACAAATTTTCTTACTACACAGGTTAGGTCTAGTTGGTTCGCTCATAATTTTAGACCTTGAATTAGGCCTTGATTTGGAATAAAGTACAGTCGTAAAAAAATATAATAAAATTATTAATAACTTGAAATCATTCGCTCTGAAACCTGACCAAGGTGTTTCTTTTCATTTTTCTGCAGTGCCTCCATCATCGAACGGAAGTTCCCCTTACATGACAGCTTCCTACCAGCAAAACTCGGTGCAGTCGAGGACCTACGAACAGGCCGGAGCCATGATGGAGTACACTACTTGCACAACTGCTGCCACGAACCCGACGTACTCTAATACCGCTGGCACCCTGCCATCCGTGGTGCAAATGGCGCCAGTCGACGCCCCGACAGCCACTTACCACTTGCCACCGATTCATGCTGGGTCCAATCGCACCACTTCCGGACACACGCAGCAGCAAGCCACTTCCGCGGCGTATTCCGGACATGAGCACGTCGTTGTTCCGGTCTCGGCGACGAAACGATCTTCGCGACCTGACAGTGAGTACCTTATATATTGTACATTACAGTACAGTACAGAAACTGCAATCTCAAGAACACTTGATGAAAATGAAATGAAGGGTACGTCTTGGAGCAAATTTTCGCTTCGAAACCATTGTTTTTAAACCGCACCAAATCCCGGAAAAGAGTAATAGATTGAAAGAGCAAAATTTAGTGAACAGCAGAGTCCATTGAGAGTGAAGCAAGCGTGTTCTTCGAGCCAATTTCCGTTTTCAAAATTGTACAAGTTGTTAGTGAACCGCAGCAAATCCCAGAAAAGGTTATTAGATTTAGCCAGCAAATTTTGAAGAACAGTGCAAGTACAGTGTGCAGAATCTATTTCAAAGAGTGATTCGTCGAAAAAGATGCCATGGTTTTTGCACAAAATCAGCAAAATAGACTACACTGTAGTTGGAAATCTTGAAAAACTTGAAAAAAATGGCGATATTTTCTTGAGGTGTACTTTCCCAGGTTACAGGAAAGGCAGCAGAATATTCAAAGATTTATTGTTAAGCTGAATACGTAAGACTCCCTAAAAATTCAGAATGTGTAAAGAAAACTTTCGTTTTTTAGCTTGTTTTAAAACAAAGAGCTGTCAGGGGGGACTGTATGGGTTTAGAAAATGAAAGTTATCAAGTCTCTCTACAACTAAATTCAAGGGACCAGAAAAAAGTCGTTGCAAAAAACCCTTGCGACTTTACGAACCCAAATGAGACTTTAAAAAAGAACTGTTTTAAATATGCGGATAAAATCGTTGTAGATAGAGAGAGAGAGAGAGAGAGTCCTTCCATCTGAATAAGTGGAAAGCATTCTCGGAAACTAAAAAATATGCAAATCTGAAATAATATTTCTCTGAAGTACGTTAAAATGTGTATTGAGATGTAAATAACAATAAAATATTATAATTTGGCTACATTAAATATTTTCGTTTCAGCTCTTTCGTTCTGTAAATCTTGCTGCGTCGCTTTTTTTTTGTGGCTTTCTTTGCATTTGCTGTTTTGAAGCTTTCTCGAATAAATACACTGAATACCTGTTGAATCCTGGAAGAATGATTACGTTTTTTTCCATTCAGGGTCCGATTCCGGAAATAGTCAGCAATCGAGGAGTTCCTCCAGGTCAAGTGCTAGCCGTCGAGCCGTGAGTCTCACATTCATGATAATATTCGAAAAATACTCTCACTGAACACAAATTCCCAAAATTTTGATTTGGTTCCACTTTAAAAAAGAAAGAAAGCCTTTGCAAATGAGACACGATTTATTTTGCAGAGCACAGTTCGCCGGACAGGAGTGACGTGTGCCAATTGCAGCACAAACACGACCACGCTTTGGAGACGGAATAGCGAAGGAGAACCCGTTTGCAACGCCTGTGGGCTGTATTTCAAGTTGCACAATGTGAGTGCGAACTTTTTAAATTTCGGGTTCATGCGTGTGCCAATTTATACAGGGGTGGATCAAGGGATATGCGAAGAGAATTCCTACTGGCACAGTCTATATCAACTTCATATCCTTTTTTTTTCTCTTTTCAAAAACTGGGCATCTCTTCGCAGGAGAAAGCTAACCTTAAAGACACACAATGAACTTTTTAATGCAGCTAAATTTCTGATCAATGCCAAATATTGGCTCAAATTCTGTAGTCATTTTTACAAAAATACCTCGAATACTGTACAGTATATGTTTCAGAACGCTCTCTAATTTTCTTTATGAGTCATAAATTATCCGTCTTGTAAAATTCAGATTTTGCGGAAGAGTTAAGGCATGCAATATGCTTTTAGAAAAATGCACTACAAAGAATACTCTGTCAAATTTGCACGCTTTTACCGCACAACTCGCAGAGTTACATTCATTCAAACGCTGCATCATTCAAAATATCAGCTTCATGAACAGTTTTTGAAAATAAAGCAAGTCTCGT